AAGTAAAATGGAGCATGATATTTTTAACAGATAAATAGGTTATTGCCTAATACTGCAGTTACATCACACATTCAGCGATATGTAGAAAGGAGTTCTGTTCATATAAAAATTTATAAGTTTGCGTTGATTGTGAAGAAAGGAAATAGTATTGAATTTGTTTAGCATAACGTATTGATTTGCAGTATGCCTGACAGCGAAGAAATTCTTAGGTTTGATTCTTCATATTAGAAGATTTAGGGAGCTTTCTATAGCAATCCATATTGGCATATTCGTGAATCATTGCACAAACGTTAGACTAAGCCAACGACGTGCAGGTTGGTCAGTCCCATACATACATATTTACAGAACAGAATTATGGAGCATATCTTAGTTGGCAACAAATTATATATAACGCTAGAAAGAGGTTTCTTTAAAGATTCTGAAAAGCGTAAACTTGGCTTCTTGCATAAGAAGGAATCAAAACTATGCCAGGCCACAGAGGAAAAAGTTTTTGAAGAACTTTTGAGTCGGCTCAAAAATGTTAACAAAATCAGTAAACAAAATTAAATCATATTCGTAGCATTAATTTTCAAACACAAATTTTGTACACTGCCTAGTTTTTGTATGCAGTGATGTACCTGTATGTACATGTATAAATACTTAGGTATGCTGTTCATCTACTATTCAACTTGATACTTGAACACGTTGATCAACTACTCGCGCTTCAATATTATTTCAATTTTTTCAATACTACAGACGTATTTTTATGCGACATACAAAGTAACACCCACAAAAATTAAAATTTTTTTCAAACAAGTTACAACCATCATATGGCCCACTAATGATTCAACGTATTGAGGGAACAAGTTGAATAATGAGTGTTTAGAATTAGAATTGTACTGCAATAAAACTAAAAACAAAAAGTACTTTAAAAATGGTAAATAAAAAACTCAAATATACAGAATATAGGCGTGTGCCTCGTAACTGAAACACATATGACCTTAAAAAGCAGGATTCGGTTTCCAGGTTATAGAATTTACAACTGTAACCACCCTCGTAATATAGCGAAGGGCTTATATCTGGTGCATTGTGATAGGGAGGGGGTGATTGGAGTTCAACTAGAGGAAGAGAACTTAGGACAGCAATTGGCGGCTTTGGGTGCCTATTTCACTCCACTGCGAAGCCAATGTATTGGCCAACCGATGTTAATAAGTGTCCAGATTTAATAGATTTTTTCATAACAAAACGGATTGCCAAAAACTTCACTGAGGTACATGATAACTATGATCTTAACTCCGATCATTCAGTGGTTGTTTTTAAACTTAACGAAAATATTGTAATGAAAAGTAGAGGGGAAACTCTGCTGACAAATGGAACTGCAGATTGGTCAAGATTTCGTTTAGATATTGAACGACAAATAGATCTAAGGAAAAGGATAAGAACAACCCAGCAGATAGATGAGGAGGCCGAAAATTTTACTAAAATTATTCAAAATGCGGCTTAGAGTATTTCGAAAATTAATGCTATTAGAAGGGATGGCATTAACTATCCTCCTCATATAATAGCAAAAGTAAGATAAAGCAGGGGCCGAGAAAGAGGTTGCAGCAAACGCGTAATCCTACTGATAAAGGTATTAGAAAATACAAGGAGGATCCGGTTGCCAATTATGTTCAAAATTGTGTCAGAAAACCAATTACTCGCTGTGGGAGGCAACAAAGAAAATGAAGCAACCTATCAAGCATCTTGCTCCCATTATAAACAAAGATGGAACGTGGGCAAAAACTGACAAAGAGAAGGCAAATGCGTTTCTTGAAATCACTTGGCAGATATATTCCGTCTGCATAACAGTCAGGGCGTGTATGAAAATGAGGAATCTGCTTTTGTTGGGGATAGCGTCACTATTCCAATTGTCAAGGAAAGAATATAGAGGAAATCAGGACTCTTAAATCTAAAAAAGCTATGGGTTTTGGCTTAATAACGGCCGATATTTTGAAAAAACTATCCAAAAGTGGTATAACGATGCTTACGCATCTAATAAATGCATGTGACATTTGGAAAGATGCGGAGATAATTATGCTGCACAAACCTGGCAAACCTATAGATAGGCCGACTTCTTATATACCAACCACATTGTTGCCGATGATTTCAAAACTGCTAGTGAAACTTTTATTGATAAGACTTCAGCCTATAATTGAAAGTAAAGTAAGTTAATACCGAATCATCAATTTGGTTTTCAGAACCATTCAACAATAAATCAGATTCATAGGATAACTGACCTAACAGAAAATTCACTGGAAGAAAAAACGATATATTCTATCATATTTTTGGACGTAGCCCAGCTCTTTGATAAGGTTTGGCATTTTGGATTAATAAAAAAACTTAGGCAATTACTACAAACGCAGTATGTTAACCTGTTAGAATCTTATCTGACTAATAAAATATTTCGAGTTAAACAGGAAGAGGGGCGCTCTTCGCTTAGCGATATCAGGTCGGCGTTATAATATACAAGGGAGTATATTGGGCCTAATATTTTACTTGCTATACACGTGTGATATTCCTGAATCGAAAGGAGTGACAACAGCTACATTTGCTGATTAGTCAGCAGTTATCGCAATAGGACGAAATGAAAATGAATCCACACAAAAATTACAAAAGGCAAGTGACGAGAACTCAAAATGGACTAGAAAGTGGAATATAAAACTTAACGCAGTGAAATCAGTACACGTGAATTTCACTAATAGGAAAATTGACAATTCATTTTCGGTTCGGAGAAACGGCGTCTTAATTCCGTTCGCAAACACGGATAAGTGTTTGTGAATGACGTTGCACGCAAAACTCAAATGGGAGGAGCACATAAAGAGAAGGAGATCTCGAGGAGGAATACAGAAAATTTGAATGGCTTTTGGCATGGCGTTCTTGGTTAACAATATATAACAAAGTTTTGAGACATAATCACATATTTAAGCCTTATTTTGAGAAGGGTGCTTTTTAGTGGATTAAAGTTCCACACTGCTGCTTTTCGTCTTTCAAGGTCATTCTTCCTCCCGGTAAAAAAAAAGAAATATATTTACGATAGTGGACAATTTCCTACAGATTGGCTGAAATCCACCTTCACACCATTGCCAAAAAAAAAAACAACGCCAAAATATGCAATTAACGTCGTTTGATAAGCTTGATGAGTCAAGCTTAAAAATATTCTTGAAAATACTGCAAAATCGAATCTATAAGAAATGAGAGAAAAATGTGGGTACAACCCAATTTGGATTCAAGGATGGAACAGGAACGCGAGAAGCACTATTTGGTATTCAAGTCTTTGTACAAAATTGTTGCGATGTTAGTAAAGACGTATTTTTGTGTTTCAGTTAGAACAAAAGATGGCATCACAAAGGAAGTAGAAATAAAAAAAGAAGTTCGACAGGGTTGTATACTATAACCGCTTCTATTTAATATCTATGCCGAAGCTATTTTTCAAGAAGCAATCGAAACAATGTCAACAGGGATTAAAGTAAATGGCAAATACATAAACAACATTCGATATGCAGACAACATTACCCTAATAACACACTATATGAATGAGCTTCAATCCTTAGTTGGTCAAGTAAGCAAACATAACCAAGAATACGGTCTTCATATAAATATAGCAAAAACAAAATCTATGATTGCAAGTAGGGAGAAAACACCATTTCTAAATGCAAAATCCTAATTAACGAAAAAGAAATCAGGCGTAAAATAGGAATGACACACAACTCCTTCTGCAAAAACAAAAAAAATTTTACTAGTAGAGATATAAACATATATATTAAACCGCGATTTCTGAAATGCTATATTTGGACAGTTCTACTTTATGGTGCGGAATGTTGGACTTTAGGAGCTACGTTAATAAACAAATTGGAAGCTTTTGAAATGTGATCATATTGAAAAATCCTCCGAATGTCGTGGACGGGACACATTTCAAATAATGAAGTCCTTTGAAGAGTTCAAAAAACAACGGAACTACTAAGGAACATAAAGCAAAGAAAAACTTCGCATTTCGGACATGTTATGGGCGGAGAAAAATGTCAGCTTTTGCGACTTATATTTCAAGGCAGAAGAAGCATTGGTCGAAACAAGTGTCCTGGCTGCATATTTTTTAACAAAATATGTTCATTTTTGAAGGTCATAAAATATTGTGATATTAAAATACTTATAAATATTTGCAATTTTTAAAATAAATTTATTCAAAGAGAAAAAAAATAATGAGTTTTGTTTAAATTTGTTTTCTAAAATGAAAAAATATTTTCAAATATTTTTTAGTTTTTACTTTAAAAAAATTTTTAACTTATCCTTCTTACAATTACACATATTTTATCGTAAAGGCCAGACAAGAAAATAAAATAAAAATACGCTTTTGTTACGACTTTGACAATGCTCGGAGCAAAGATAGAGACAAAAAGAAGAAAATTAGCTTCTTTGTTTTTTCAAGATGCTCCTTCTTTTAGTATTTCTAATTCGCTGGTATAATGGCTTTCCAGTTTCAAATAAAATTGAATATTGTTTTAAAAAAAATATTATTTATATATCAGACAAAACTTAGATAGTTTAAATTTGAAAATGAAATAAACTATGATGATTTTGCGGAAGTGCACATAAATTATTTTGAAGCCATTATCCCTAAAGGATTATATGCAAAATGTGGATTTCCTAGTTGAAAATAATTTTTTAGAAATACAGTAGCAGTAGTGTAAATTTAATACTATATTTATATAGACAGTAGACACAAAAGAAAACGAGTGGTGGTCAGATGGAAATCAAGACAAAACATCATAAAGAAAATCTATTTAAAAAAATGTTGCATAAAACATGATGGTGAGAATTTGGAATTGGTTCTTTAATGTCGCAACTAATTTTAACGACTTAATGTTTTAATTATATAACATTCAAATGCACAATAATAATTCTGGCATTTTTTTATTTTATTCTAGCATACCTGTCCTTAGAGCGTTCTTGCAACACTGCCCTTAATCAAATTTTTCATTTACTTTAAATTTTTTATTCGTTAAAATTGAATTTTGATTAGAATTTGCACGTCAGAGTTTAGTTTAATATTTTTTAAATAATGAGAGGATTAATAGCAGAAAGTGCTAAAATTTTAAAAATTTTTGAAAAAAGTCGTGTCGAAAGTTTTGTGTCGTGGCCGTATGAGGAAAGTACTACATGCGACACGCGTAAAGTAAGATATGCGATGTTTTAAATAATTTTATAAACTTCCATTGTTAGTCGTAGTGGGAGTCGTATTTGTTTAATGTCTAAAGAAACAGTTACTTTAATAAGTATTTTCGGAATATGTACATAGATTTGTGTAATGTAATATTCAAGATTAAGCAAAATCATTTTACCGGTGCCCAATAAGCATCGAAGAGGAAAACGCATCAATAAAATGACCTCCTATAAAATAATACAAAATAGCTATGCAAATTCATTACGTTTCATTCCTACCAAACATTTGAATATTATAATTTTAGTTTTTGCATAATGTCAGTGATAGGGCGAGAACATCCATAACATGACATAAAAATATGAATTTTAAAATTGTGTACTTACGTACATTTAATAGAAACTATGTACATATGTATTTCTAATTTCAAGTCAACTAGAAGTTAAATAAATGAGAGCCTATGGCATTTTGTTATACGATTGAAGGTACGGCGAACATTGCTGTATTTATTTTACTTCCAAAGATCAAGAAATTCATTGCAAAATCTTGGTGTTAAAGTAGATTTTGTCCTAAAATGTTCTTTATAAATATTTGATCTAGCTTTTTGTAAGTAAATTAACAAGATTGTTTAATAATTCAGATGGCTGAAGCTGGTTTTTATTGGACTGGTAATGGAAAAGGTGATGATACAACTACTTGCTTTGCTTGTGGAAAAATGCTGGATGGATGGGAAGCTACCGATGATCCGTGGTTAGAACATAAAAAACATGCGCCACAATGTTGTTTTGTAAAATTGGGAAAACCAGAGAGAATGTTAACCAAGGAAGAATTTCTCGATCTGTCTTTTAATGTGCTATTGTTTTCAATTCAAAGGCGAAAGGACCATTATCAAAGAAAATTGAAGATCGAAGTTAATAAAGAGCGCGATAAATTTGTTTCAGCGAATTAAACAATAAATTTGTGTATAAACAATTTTAAGGAAATTAAAATCTTAGCAAAATATAAAATTTGTAATTTTTCACTTTATCTTAAGAACCTGAGCTGAGTGCTATTATGATCCATACGCCATGACTTTTGAATCGAGAAAATCGCATTTTCAAGCACTATTTCAAAACTAAACGCCGAGATTTCTTAAATTTTTATTACTAGTTTTATTATATGTATATACATACTATATGTAAGTGTTTTACTATAAAGTTTTGTGCAATTTCGATAAAGGGATCGAGAGTTATAGCAAATTAGTTAGAGAAGGTCCAGTGCGATTTTGATCCATATCCACATTTTCGATCAAAAATGTTTGCTATTTATTACGTGGATCAAAAGTTCATAGATATACATCAAAATAGCACAAATTTAAAAAAAAATTGTTCTCCCATTATTTTTCGTATACTTGTATTAAAAAAATTATTATATCGCGAAAGTGAGAAGCTTAAATTTAAAACATGCGTAAAATATGAATATTTAACCTAATTAGATTGAAAGAGTTTGAACAATGGTTCGTATTCACTTAAAAGAGTTTTCTGCTGTATAGACATACATACATTATATTCCCTTCCCGCTAATCGTAAGATTCTGTGTTGATTTTGATAAGGGCATTTGTTGCTTTGCCCAATTATCCAAGAAAGAGAAAACGTCACCAAACTTTCAAAAATTTTCTTATTTTTGACAGCGACTGTTGCTAATTTTAGGGAAAAAATTCGAATCATGGATTGGGTTAGCTGTTATGCCACTCAACAAGATTATTTTAAATATTTCAAAAAACTAATTAAACGAATGAAAGTCATGTATTCAATCATAGCTTGGGTATGTCTCGGATGTTCTTATGAAATAGCTTGGCAGGTTTGGATAACTGCCATACAATTTTAAGTACTAATTTTAAGTATTTGGAGTAATAAAGCTCTTTATAGCGAATGAAGGATTGCACTTTACCAAATATTTTAGATGTTTTAGTGATATGTCTTGGCATTTTCGGGTAGCTAAGTGACACCAGGAAATTCGGTAACAAAATGCCAAATTATAGTTCATAAATGTCTCAAAACTTTTATTCAGCTAGTTCGCTAGGGTTTGATTTTATTATCAGATTGTCAAGATATATGTATTTACAATTTTATATGTGACGGTTAAATGAATCATTTTTATTTGTTTTTAACAGATTCGGGCATTAAAGTACGGCAATGCTCAAGCGTTTTCAAAAGTATATATTAATGAAGGCTTTGAATTTACCAGCGAATGGCTTACAACGACGTATAATACTCAATGTTTCAAAAAATTGTTTAAAAATCATATCTGCCACCCATTTGCAAAAGTGGACAAGTCGATTTTAAAAAAAAAATTAGATATGTATACCATTTTGTAGATGCTTCAAAACTCTATCATTTTGAAAAATTAAAAGTTAAAAATGTATAAAATTGTACACATAATTGCTATGCAAAATATAGGGCTTTTTGCAAAATGGGATAAGTCGTTCATTTATTGGCATGCAAATTGGGACAATTTCTGCGTAAATATTATTGGTTAGCAAAATTGGAGAAGTTGTTAAGTTCTTTAATGCAAACCCAAAATGAAACTGCAAAAGAGGGCAATTTTATCAAAACAAATTTTTTTTATGTACATATGTATATGAAATGCAAAAGGGTTTTTTAAAAAAATTTTGACGAAGTTGAATAAAAAGGAACATTAGCAGGAATCTAAAAAAAAGTTTTTATAATTTGAGGATTCCCGGTAAATACTATCTTTTTAACGATTGGTGAAAAATGATAGCAACTATGATTTTTCTAAGTCAATTATAGACGATCCAAAACATGGTTACAAAATAATTGACAACGGAAATATTTAAATAATACTATTTATATATTATATGTTTTGTTACTATTTTATTTTAGATAAGCTTTTGATGAAATGAAGTGAATAAAAATGAATTAACGAATTGTTTCTTTTAATATTTTGTAACGTTTTGTTCTACACGACATTTTGTAAGCAACATTCGAAAAGAACAAAGCAATCTAATGCTTTTAAAAGTTCTTAAAATATTTTTTGTTTAGTTAATTATGTGAAAAAAACAAGTAAGGTGAATAAATTAAAAAATAATTTATCGGTTAAAAAAATTTAGGAACTGTGTAAATAGCCAAATTGGATTGTTTAATTATGTTTTGCAGTTTATGTGCTACAATAATTTATGTCATACAAAAAAAATATTTTTTGTATGGCATGGGTCATTACACTCGTAGCATTGAAAATTAATTTTTTTGTATAACATAAGTCATTATAGCACTGAAAAATTTTTTGAAAAATTTATATGAAAATTTGATCCATACGTCAACGATTTTCGATATGGATCAAAATGCATCTAAAATCGAATTTTAAGTGCAGGAGCATCAAAATGACATTGGCGTATCTATGAAACTAAATGAGATAGCGAAAATCTGATTACATATATATATTGAAAGATCATCGTGGAAAACCTAGAAGTTGTCTTAAGTCAGAAATTTCGAAAGCGGCGTATGGATCGAAACAGCACTCAGCCGATATTATATTACAGAATACCTTACCACTCTTAAAATTAGGGAGATTTTCGATAATTCAATTCTAACTTGGATTCTAATTAGCCACGGCGGGTGGGGGTGCGAAATACCCGCAGTAGAAATGCTTGTGGCGAGACTCCACTAAAATCTAGTACAAATCCAGAAGCATCTGATCCAGAATGAACGGCTGTCTGCGATGCGACTGATCCCTGAGGAAAGGCAGAAATTGAGCAGGCTGCCTTGCACGAGGTATTTATTGCCAAAGGCTAGGAGAATTAAACTGTGAAATAAAACAAAAACAAATGCGATGAACAAAACAAAAGGATTTTATATCACCTCTTTTAAAAGAACACCTCGGGTCATGCGGATACCACCATGTGACAAAAGCAAAGAAAATATGCCCAGTTAATGAAATAAAAGTTGAGTGGCATAATGAAATAAAAGATCAGAAAACTCATAACTGTCGCTTAAATAAAAGAATAAGTGAGCTAGAAGCGCTTTGTAAAGAATTGAAAAATGAAATCCAGTATCTCAAAGAGGAAAATAATAAGCTAAAATTGGAATCAATCATTGTAAATGCAATAAAAGAAATAAATGCGGAAAAAGTTGCGACAAACAAAGTTGAATACTGCACAGACGGGGAGGATCTGACTCGGGAAACCGATTGGATTCTCAAGAGAAAAAGCAAAAAGCGAAGAGCAGATATGTCACCTGAAATTAGTCCTGAGGATAAGGTGAACCAAATAGAAAAATCTGTGCAGATAAATGCACTGCAAGAAAGAACAAATTCCCTCCTGTTATATTAAGCAATGTGGAGGAATATCCAAAAATAAAGAAGATGCCCAAAAAAGCCAAAATAAACTTTAGAGTCAACGAGAGATGAATAGATTACAGAGAATTAGCAAAAAAAACAAATTAATCTAAAGTAGAGTGGCATACCTACGAAAATAAAATGACAAGACCCACCAAGGTGATGACTGGAGGTTTGCATCCTTCGTGCCAACCTGAAGATATTAAAAATGAGCTAAAAGAGAAGAGCCTTTCTTAAAGTTCTAGAAGTCGTTAATAAAATTAGAAAGCAGAATAAAAAAAAACAAACTTGACCTCTTCATGGTAACCTTGGAAAATGCGGAGGACATAAATAAATTTTACAAAAATTGATGTACTTCAGCACATGAAGATTAAAATTGAGTCAATAAGGAGAAATAATTTAGTTCCACAATGCAGAAGGTGTCAGAGATATGAGCACACACAGAGGTTTTGCCAGCGTCAATGTGTCTAGTGTGCTGGTCCTCATTTAACGATAAATTGTAGTAAGCAAAAATGGAAGCTTCAAAGTGTGCAAATTGCTCTGAGGTACATCCTGCGAATTACAGGGGTTGTATAGTCGCAAAAGAATTACAAAAAAGGAAAACTAACCTTACAAAACGGAAACAAATAAAAATAGTACCAAAAAATACTCTCGAAACTCCAGAAACCCCAAAAAGAGCTACATTGAATAAAAGATTACAGGGAATCCAATTTGCCCAAGTGGTGAAACATATAACATATAAAGAAACTGTGAATGAAATTTCATTGAGATTGAATAAATTAAAAGACAAGCATGATAATGTTTGTGAATGTACGCCAAAAAGAAAAGAATGTTTGCTGTTTTAAATGTGTTCCAATTGCGCGTGGAATTCCACGAGCAATTGGAACACATTTAAAACAGCAAACAGATATAAAAATGAATGGTTACATAGAATATAAAGCGGTGCATCCTAATAACGAATCAAAGGATGGTTGCACACTTTTGAAATGGAATAATATAAAACATAATGAAATAAGTAAAGTAGAAAGGGACGATAGCCAATTTGTTGCGAATAGAATCTTATAAACGAAATTTCGATGTTAGTGTACCTTACTGTCCTCCAGGACGTGTAATAAAGAGAGGTTCATTCAAAGATCTCTATAATGCTAAACATATTGATTCGGGTTATAGATTGACTTAACTTAATGGAAATTTCTTCATGCAACTGCAGAACAGATGGATGACGTAATCAAATGAAAGAGTTAAAAACCACTTTGCCTTCTGATTTAGCGTACAATGCGCTTTACCAAATCGAGGAGCATTGAATCTCTTTCAATCTATATTAAAGAAAATTTGATGGTTGGTCTAATAGAGCATAAGGAGGAGGTTTTTATGGTAAAACACATACATAACTAACTATGGGTTGTCAGGGAATGGTATGTTAGCAGCATTCATGCTTTCCTCTTTCATTCGATGGAAAAAAATAATTAATATAAAGTATGTTCGATTAAAGATTCAAAAGAATTTTTAAGATCTTTTATAAGAACTATGTACATAATGCAAAAATATAAATTAGAAGAGAATAATAAAAAAAAAATGACGGGCATTAAAAAATTATTTCTGTAATTATTTTCGCAGATCTGCAAAAATGAAATATTCAGTTTCTGCTGATTTGTAGGTAAGT